AGTCTGCTTTATTATTATGCAGTCCTCTTTCCTAGTCTTATCCCAGTCTCTCCTGCTCCGTAAAATCCGTCTGCTCTACCCCTTGTTCACATATTCTCACTCGACTCCTGCCACCACCTCTGTCTTATACAAAGCATTATTCGCCCTCCCCTGCGTCTGGGTGGCTAATTCGAGACGCAAGCCTCTAAGTGTCATGGTCACTGGTAATATAGCTTAAATTCAGCCATCTAATTATAAAAAAAAGATGCCAGTCTATATACCAGTACATAAATCCTTTTCTCTCTTCGGTTTTAAAGGAAAATCAGTTAAGAATAGTTTCTTGCTAGAGTGACAGTAAGTCTACCCAAAATGAGTTTTACTAATGCGTGACTTTTGATCAAATTTCATTTCTCCATTAATCAGCAAAGATAGTTTTTAGCCTTGGCCTTATAAGGAATCCCTCAGTGATTCGAACCATCTGTCTGTATATTAAGAGGCCAGTACGCTACCACTTAAAACATGGTCTTATTTCCATTGATATGCACAACCAGGACTATCAAATAAAATAAAAACTTTCTTAATTAATATATTTTACATCAACTGATGCGATCTAGGCGAGATAAAAAATGAATTCCGCCTTGGATGAAAAGCACCTTTTTAGGTTCACCGTAAAGTGAAAATTACCTAAAAAACATGGAATTTTCTTTAGTTCATCGTAAGCAATAACACTTTGAGTCCAAACAGATTTTTCCGGTTAATTCAGCCTCTTGAAAGCTTTTGGCAAAAGATTTTTCCCAAAATATTAGATTTTCTCCATATGATTAAGTTTCACCACACAAACTCTTTAATAATAAAAAGTGATTGCAATTTCAGAAGTACTCATAGATTTTTATTTTACTTTTAGTGCTTTATTCTATGTTCAATGTAGTAATAAGATTAAATACATTCACACCAGACAACAAGACAGTGGATATACTAAGGATGGAAACCTTAAATGCGATATTCATTTTCAAAATAAATGTGCTTTATTAAGAGAAAATAGGCATACCAACCTTGCATAAAGACTGAGTTGATTGCATCAGGCTTGAACGGTTAATATCTTCGACTAGAGTGGGGATGACATCGATGGAATGAGGCTCAACAAATTTTGTTTCATCTGCGCCTGAATCTTTCGTAAAATCCTCCGATATATCAGGAAAGTTTGGTGGAGTGGAACTACATTTATCCTGTTGTTCCTTGTGCTCCTTCTGTAACTTCTGCCACCTACCGCGACGCTGGCGCCTAGCAACAGTCTTCGAGTTGGCAAGTAGCCAAGACTCGTTTGCAGAAGTGGTTACATTCGGGATAATTAGGGAATCTACAAGTGTGGCCTCCATTGAGGGTGGATCTGGGAGTGAAGTCTGGATAGGATCTGAATTGAGGTTTAGGTCTGGCTGAGCACATACTGAAGATAGAGCCTCGGATTTGGAAATGAATGAGTCTGTGAGTAGACGTTCTTTTTGATCAGGTACTATAATGAGAGGAAAAACATAAGGTTGTGAGTAGTAGTTATAAAGAAGCCTAAAGTTTAATATATCCGTAGAAAAGTCCGGTTTATTAATGGAAAATCTTGGGATTGAATGATATAGAAACCCTCGGGATTGGTGGTATGGTATA